AATAGCTGGGGAAAAACAAGAGAGTTTTGATACTTAAGTGGGTGGGGGGGGTTGCGAGCAACTCGATTTGATCAAAGTAAAGTATTGACTTTCTTTGATGGGAAGCATTTATCAACCATTTTTTCTGGTGAAATATCACATATACATGTACGTACGCACACACACGATGGAGGCGAATAGATAACTCTAACACACAATATATATATCCTACTCAGTCATATAATTTGTATTTCCAGGTCGAACGCATGTGCATATCTTAGTTGGAAATGATTCAATAACCGGGTGTAGTGAATGGAAAATAAATGCCAGGATAATCAGTTCGCATCGAGACTTTACTGAGGTTTTTTCTTGTGAATCATATTAGTTTGTTTTATTAGATGGATGTATCACACAGTCAGTGAGTGAAACAGTATTAGTATTTACTGGATGACAAAGTTGTTTCGAACACAATTCATCATTATTGCTGTTCATAATCATACACATCATCAATTATAATCATACGACTTCGAAAATTGAGTTTTGTAGTTTTCTTTGTTCTCTCCTATTAGTGGTCGTCATTGAGGCAGTAGAATATTCCTGATATCTGGCTGGACAGGTGTTGAATCATTCCTATTACACGTATTCACTCTCAGTTGATTCGATACACAAAGCTTCTCTTATCAATCTCTCCTCCCCTACACCCTGCTGTTACATTAGATTTTAAAACTGTCATATTATCCAATCCATCTTATGGTATGGTTGTGTGCAATTGCATGTAGTGCTTGTGATAGCTGCTGAACTATTCTCTAGATTTCTCATTTTATTCAGGTCAACCAAACTAGATTTTGCTGGTAGGTTTTTATGCTCCTCGGCTAGTCTAACTCACTGACTGACCTGGTTCTACTACTTTGACCCATCTATGTATTTGACCTGACAATGATTGCAAGCAGGGTATTAGATAAACTGAATTGTTTTGTCGGTTAAAGGCTGCACAGGATTGATCCTTCAACCGACAAAGCTTGTTTGTAATTGAGTTTGTGGGTTTGAATTCCAGGGGGCACTTTTATTCCTGCCCGCCTTGTTAAGAATTATGCGTAATGTGGTTATTGCGGTTCCTTCCTCGTATGGAATTACTACTGATGATTTAGATTCCTTATTGTTGCTGTTGTGAATCAAATGACATCATAATTCGGTGATCTGAGTGTATATTTTTATGCGGAAAACAACGCCTCCCTCACTCACTAGAATCTGATTCAAAAAGACAAAAATAGTCGATTGATTTTATTCTTTTCAGTATTTGGAATGGTTTGAAAACTTTGCTAGATATAAGTTACTCCATCCGAAAGCACGACTGATGAATTCAGCTAGCTTCCAGGATAAGGGACAACCGTTTGGCGTTCTAAGTAATTTCGTCGTTACTGACTAGCAAAAACCAATTTGGTTGGTGGTCATTATGAATGCTGCTGACCGACCACAGCATTAGTCGGTAGTAGTAGTAGTAGTATCTGCTACTCCCGAATAAATACCTACAATCAAACAACTCACTCATGCAGGGGTGGGGGACTTCTTTAAATCCTTGAAAACGAGCTAAAATGCATTGTTACTCAAATGTTACTTACCAACCAATTGCCGCCACTCCATGCAACTGACAATGATTCACACCACTTGTGTGGTTGCCCAAACATTCATTGATAGATGGGATGGGATTCGAACCCGTGATCTACTGACTGGTAGTCAAACGTTTAGGCCAATTAACCACAGTTCCACCACGAAAACAAACCTATATATATATATATATATCGTCGCAACACAGTAACAAAAGAAGAAAACCTTAACCTTGCTCACTTAAGGTGTCATATATAATCTTAAGTTCATCTTCAAGAATGGCATCAGCCATATGCTGCAATTAGCGCATAACCTTTGTGTCTATTAGCAGCCACATTTCAATTGTAACGATTTTTATCTGCAGAGGTTTGTTTGTGTTTTTTAAACGTAGTAAATACGAACATTCTACCCTTGGGTAGTTGAACGCGTGTTGCTCACAAAGGCTGACAAATGTATATTCAACGTATCGGGGTATTATTACATTATTATTATTGTTTCCTTTAATTCCTAGAGGAACATACGGCTTCAGTCGTGCGTCTCCATTGCGTTCGGTTCTCTGCTAGAGTCCACCTGGCTCCAAGTCTGCTCACACGTTTTCATCTCCTCTTCACATGACCTCCTCCACTCCATGTCACCCTCACACTGACGACCAACTCGCCGCTTCCCTTTCGGGTTCCACTCGAGCAATGGCTTGTCTAGTGATGTCACTTGATGGTTTCCTCAGAGTATGGCCAGCCAATCCACCTCCATTTCTTCCTGCTTACTTGTTTCACAATCGGTTCCTGGTTGGTTCGCTCCCAGAGATCCCACCCTGTTGCTGATCTTTTCTGGCCATCTGATCTTGAGTGGTATTGAGCGAAGACAACTAGCTGTTAATGAAGGTCTGTAGTTTGTTTGAGATACTCTTCATGACACGCTGACCAAGTCTCTGATCCATCCGTATAGTGAGTAGCACTGACTGACTTCACATTGGAATTGAAAATCCGGATCTTATTTTGATTTTCATGCTGAGTGATAAGTGCTGTTGACCTCCACACAGACTTGAGAGTAGTGAAAGCTTATCTTGCTTTCCCGATCCTCTCTGCTTTGATATCCTCGTCAGTTTCGTCGGCCTGTAGTTGAAACGATGTATGTGGACGAAAGCGTACATATACACAATCACGCTTGTATTCCGTCTCTAAAGCAATACACATCCGTTACAGTAAAAAAAATTTGGTGGCATAAGCGTTGCTTTCCACTGGTTATCCAATGTCATTTTTAGCCTTGTCTTACTCCCGTCTTCTCTTCTTCTTCCAAGGATTCTGTGAGTTTCCCTGTTTTGTGTGGATTACTTAGCATGCAGCATTTTACTAAAACTGTTGGATGATAAGTTGTATAATTAATTGTTAGTTGACGGCACCTCTTCCTATATATCTATACCTAAACCTATAGCTATACCTATAAAATTATTATTATGAGATATAAGGTTATGTGATAGTAAATAAGCCAGCCAGCTAGCTAGCTAGCTAGCTTCATTCCAATGAAGTATTTCATCATTTTATTTCTGTAGTTGTAATTATCCCGGAGTAGTTAATGTCAGTAAATAATTTTCTTGAGCAATAATTACATTGTGAAATAGATGATGGACGATCAAATAAATAATAATAATCATAATATATTTCAATAGTTTACACACAATGATAAGTTCTGTTTGTTTGTTTGTTTGTCTGTTCGTGTTTGGTAGTATATTTTGAGCGAGACTACTGCCCGAGATCATCATCACACCAACTGTGTGAGTGTTTGAATTGCATTTTTCTGTTTTGTAATTCGACCAAAAACAACAAACAAGAACTTATCATTGTGTGTAAACCGCCACGGGCTCGAACCCAGCCAGCACCCACCTTGTGGTTGGTTACAAGGCAAGCAAGCGTATTACTACTACTGAAGTGCCCCAAACTAGCTAGGCTGACAAAACAGTTGGCTGGTTTTACAATGCTTCTTTCTCTCTCTCGCTAACTGATAGACAGATAGATAATTATTCATCATGTCAGCTCATGATGAAATCCTCCCTCCCTACCTACGTCCCTCCAACTAATAAATAATAATTCCTTCAATTTATAATTGCGTCAAATTAAAAGTCATTTATTTATCTTTTACTACTACTATTAAATGAATCAAGGAAGATAATATATAATGAATGAATGAATTAATTAATTAATTAATTAATTATACAAGGCATGATCATCTATTCCTCAGATGACTGACTAATGATGAAAAAATCAATATTACATCTGTATTTTCAAAATGACTGACTGGATCGATAAATAGACAGACAGACAGATAGATAGACAGATAGGTAGATAGGTGACTGTATTACACATATATATTTATATATACATAATTAAAGTTCATGATTGTGCCCTGTGTGTGCCTTCTATGATGATGATGAGATCATGCATGAGATAGATGTAATAGGCTTCTTCATTCCAATGAAGTATTTCTTTTATTTCTCTAGTTGTTGTAATTATGACAGAGTAGGATTTGCAGCTGAAATAACAACACTAATAATAATAATAATAATAATAATAATAATAATATAATAATGGTGCCTTTATTGCTGAAATAAAACAAAACAACCAGATTGCAGATTGCTTAACTAGTGAGTGAGCGAGGTAGTGAGTGCAGTGCAGTGCAGTGAGTACTGAGAAATCGCAGTTTAAGGGCCAGTGCAAGGATAAAGAAGAAAAAGTATTACGTACGTATTTGGGCACAATGTTAGGTAATTGAAATAGACAGACAGACCTACCTTCCCAGCCTGCAATTAATCCATCAGCAAATGTGTCAGTCAGTCAGGCGGTCAGTGAGTCTTAAACGGTGATGTCCAACCAGTCAAGTGTGTGAGGATGGATTTCCCAACGATGACCACCGATTGGTTGGTGCTGCCAGTCGCGGTAAATGCATCACGAATTGGTAGAATGGGTTAGAATTCATGCGTTGGCCATTGAATCGAGTTGGGTCTGGTTGGGTCCCAGTGAGTGTGATGGCTCAATGGTATACGCATCAGCCAGCTAGCTTGCCTTGCCTGTAACCAGAAGGTCCTGTGTTCGAACCCACTCATTGAGGTGGATACTGCGTACTGCCGATGATGATGATTCCCAAACTAGGCTGATGAGATGAAACAGCTGGCTGTCCAGTACTCCACAACGCCCCAGCTGGTTTTCAATGCATCTCTCCAACTCCTTGATGATGTCGATCCGTGCGTGCGTGCATGGTCAAACTCGTAAAAACAAATCTAATCCTTACAAACCAACTATGCGAGTCATAATAATAGCGGTATTATATATATATATATATATATATATTACTTTGTGCACAGTCTTAATAAATTTTTGTGCCCTTCCCTTTTGTTTTTTCTTTTCTTTGCTCCTCTCACATAGGTTACTGTTGACTCCGTTTCGTATGGATGGGGTGTAGCGATCAATTTAAAGAAACGTCAGTGTATCGATCGATCATCGAGACCTGATTCCTTTTATATCTTGGACTGTTTATTATGCTGCGGCTCGAAACAAGAGAAAAGTGATCCAATTTCTACAAAACCTGAAGAAGGCCTGAATTCACAAACTGCCAATGCGAGTGTCAATGATGGCAGTAATTCAGAAAAACCCGGTGATGGGAACACTGATACATCAGGAATGGCGCCTGGTAGTAGTAGCAGTGCTGATATTCAATCAACATCCCCTGAGATAATCCCAATCAAGTTGGATTGTATTGTTGGCATTAGTGCTATCCGCTTAGTCCTGCCAAATGATCTCCGATTGAAACAAGCTAAACAAGAGGTTTATGGTTCAATAAAAAATGTTGAAGCTCTCATGAATGGTAAACTACCGATGCTAGATCCTGTGAAAGATATGAATATTACTGATCCGAAATTCACTGAAATCAATGAGGTAAGAGGTGTGTGTGTTTGTGTGTGAAGGGTTTTATTGACTATTACTACTACTACTACTATACTATTATCGCGTAGATCCTTTTTATTCTTTATTTTTTTCTTTTCCCCATCCCCGCCTCAAAGGGTGGGGTCTGATCTCTGACGTAATCTCAGCTGAGTACGGATACAGAGGGCCCGCCAGTATTTTACGCCGTCTCTGGCTTAGTAGATGCGATATCCGGCTGACTGGCTGACTGTCGGGTGTACCGCTCAGCCAGCAGTCCGCTCTGTGAGTGAGACCTGGCCATTGAGAGTGGAAGACATGAAAAGGCTGGCTAGCTATCTTTGATCATAGGTGCCTCTCTGCGTTCTATCTCCCATGTGAAGTGGTAAAATAGGGCGAGCAATTATTGAGGTTAGGCGTCCAGTGAGTGCAAGGTAGGTGGGAGGGGAAATCAATCGACAATGAGGCTGTGAAATTACATCGACTGAGTGAGATGGTTAGGACATGTGTTACGAATGAATGCCTAGTCATCGATCGCCTTCCTCGACAATGGGCAATGTTAGCTGGCTGACATAGGATTGGTCAGGCTGGGAAAGAGAGAGCTAGCCAGCGGTGGTCAAACCAAAACATGGCTTCACCAGTCAATGAAATCCACAACAGTTAGTTTAAGCCAGCCAGACAGCCACGTAGGAAGGTGTAGAGTGGCTTCCTGACTGATTGGGGTCTTTGGGACCGTAAAAACCAATGAAGGCTGGAAACAATTGGTGATATGTTTGGCTCAAAATCGTTCTCAATGATGGCTGGCTGGCGTAGATGCATCCACTCCTTGTGACTCATGATTTCCAATGAAACTATATTGTGTTCTTCGTTATTACTATTCCTTTGTCTCACCACACCTCTGTTTACTGTCTCTCTATTATGCATTTCTTCTCTTGCTTTTTGCGCTACAAGGAGTGGAGGGAGTGTGGCGACTTGAACTGGTGCACATCGGTGCAAAGTGGTTCTATGTCGAAAACAGACAACAGACCCCCCCCCACCCCTGCCACCCACAAAGTATGATGTGTTCTCAGTATAACAAATAGATATTTCTTAAAGGAGGGTGGGTAGAGTCCTTGAGTAAAAAGAAGAGGAGTGAATCGATGAGTTTGTGTGGAGCTACATCGTTTAGGAGGCTAGGAGGACACTTGTTGCACACATCACGCTGAATCTGCGCCTTTCTCGACCGAGTAGTATTAGTTAATATTGGATATTAGGCATAAATCCGACCTAAACAAACTGGTTGGCTCTCACGAGGTATGCAACATAGACGGCACTGAAATAGAAACCAAGTCGGAAATTAAATTCCTGGACGTCATTCTATCTGCTGATCTCTCCTGGTCGTCTCATATCTTGGCGATTTCTAAGAAAATATTCCGTCTTACATTCTGCATCAAGAAGTTAAAACATTCTGGTATAACCCAACCCTTACTCCTAAAATTCGTTAACTCTCGCATTCTGCCTTTTATTCTCTATTGTTCGCCCTCAGTTTTTCCCGGGCTACTGAAGAAGGACCATATATCTTATTACGTAGGGTGTTACAGATTGTCAGCAGGGTAAGCAATGTGCCACTTAACCAGCTCGTGAATATTCTCGTCGACAGACAAGCACTTGGACTCATGTGAAAAATGGGCTAAATCCATTTTATCTAACTCACACCATTCTCTTCATTCACAACTCTCCCCTTGTATCTCGCCAAGCAGGACCAGAAGCCTATATATAGAAAACTATATGCTCGCACCGGCAAGTACAAAAACTCAACCATACCCTTCTTAGCTCGTGTTCTGTGCAATAAAGAAAGCATTAGGCGTGACACCTATAATTCATTAAATAGTCAGTAGTACAACTGGATCTCGTCTTTCCAACCCACTTCATCAATAGGTACAACATTTTCTTTCTTTCTGTTCCTTTTCTCTCTCTTCTTTTTCCGTTATGTGCTGCTTTGTCTCTTTCTCTCGCTTACGCCAGTTAATAAGACAGCTCCCACTTTTCTAACACCTTCAAACACTGTTTCAGCTTTACCTTTGCTACTGACATGCCAATGTATTGTTGTCATAATGAACTGTGGTTTCCTCAATCTATGTAGAATTGTATTTATTGATAATGTACTAACTGGATGCAATACTGTAGTAAAAATGCTGAGAATTCCATTCTGTATCTCAAGTACTGTTTTGGAATAAAGCAAATTATTATTATTATTATTATTATTATTATTATTATTATTATTATTATTATTATTGAGGAGTTGGAAAAGAGGGACGAGCAATGATTAAACGAAAAAAAACACAACTGTTAACTGTTCATGACAGTTAGCTTGAGACATGTATGGAGGAAGAGATGCAGGCAGGCAGGCTAGAGTTGGCTGGTTGTGGAGTCCTAAAAATGCTAAGAGAACTAAAAAAGCTTGTAACTGTGTTGGTGATGTATGGATGGCTTAAAATTATTCTCACAGATGCATTCACTTTCTGTGATTTCAATACACAGAAAAAAAAATCCCCATTTAGACATTTAGAAAAACAGAAAGATTGAGTAGCAGCGAAGAAATATTTGCTTTTCAATTAGATCCTCCTTCATCTCACTCTGGCTCTACTCTAATCAATCAATATACACGTATACACGCATTTTTTTTATTACAATACACAACAAACAATTTACCAATCAGAACACAATATTCAGCGAAGAGACTCTTTACTACAACGAATTTATTATCAAGCTGTACAATCGTATATATATGGTTTTCTATTAAGAAGTTATATCCGGTGAGGGAATTAGGTCAAAGGTGTGAATACATGAAATAATAATAGTATGAAATGCATTTAAAATATTTGTGATCATAATCATAGTTGAATGTCAAGTGGCAAAATAATTAATGTCATATTTAGAATAATAATACATAAGGTGTATGGATTTTGGAAAGGGGTACATAATTACAGGATAAAATGGGCTAATATAAAATGTTACATAACGAGGTGTGAAATTAGATAAGATAGAATTCAATATTGTAAAATTAAAATAAAAAATATAAAAATTAATAATTTTGGGTTTAAAATGTCAAGTGGAAAAGATTCAGAGTGAGAATAGTAATAATAACAATGATAGTAATAATAATCGTAGTAATAAGGGAAAAGTGCATAGAATAACTAAATAAACAAAATAAATAAATGTCTATCCCTCTACGGCCAAGACAGAAGTAGGGATTGAACATACTTCTTTTGTACACAAAGACCCGTCTGGCTTAAAGTCATGAATTGCCAAGGCCTCAGCTGTCTTTAGAAGTCGGTAACGAAGAAAACGTGGCCAGCATGTTAGCATGGATTCTATATATATCATCTTGAAATCGTGGTCAGGGTTGACAGAATGATAGAAGTTAAGACAGGTGTTCCAGAATAGAACTTCGCACACACACACTTCCTTTCTCCCTTGTAAAACCATGCTGGAATATGTTCTCGTATCCGTGTGGAAGGCGTCCTCTGACTACGGCGAATGTAATTTGCTCCACAAGAGGAGCAGGTGAACTGATAGATGCACATGGAGGCGTTGAAAAGAGTCTCTTCGCTGAATATTTTTTACGTGTTATCCTTGTGAAAACTATTTTATTCTTATGACCACTTTATCCTTAATTTACAAATTATCATTGTCCAAATCGTTTTATTTTCGTTAACAATCTGTTACATACGTAATCAACCTGTGGACACGTTTATTCCTTAATTACTCTTCATTTTTTCCCAAAATTATGCATCATGCAATCAATCCAGGTGTTGTATATGACCATTTCTACCTTTCTGATTGTGTGTGTGTGTGCATTGATTTTCCTCGTTAATTATCACCCGAATGTTTGACATGTTGACACTGACTGACTAATTATTGTTTACAAAGAAGCCAACAAACATATCAGTGCCACTTGATAATGATTGGTAAATTGTTTGTTGTTGTGTATTGTAATAAAAAAAATGCGTGTATACGTGTATATTGATTTATTAGAGTAGAGTACGGCCAGAGTGAGATGAGATGAGGGAGGATCTAATTGAAGAGAAGTAAATATTTCTTCGCTGCTCAATCGTTCTGTTTTTCTTTGTGATCTATCATATTCAATAAAAAACCCTAGCAGTTTCACGTGTTACTCTATTCCTTCTCCCTTGCTCTCTCACAATCCTGCTTGGTATAGTACTTTTAAATCCTTTTTTTGTGTTCTTGTCTATTTTGTATACCTTTGTATAATACATAGAGTAGTTTGGTAAATTGAACTGCTACACTCTGCTCTGTCTAAAGTTGTTTATTGAGACTTAGTCATGGTATGGTGTTTTAACCACAGGTTGAAAGAATGTGACTTTGTTATGAACTCGTCGCCAATATGTGTTATGGTGTGACCGTGTGGAAATATCCGCCAATTGAGGTATAACGGACGATAACGTCTACAAACTGGCATCGCTTATTAATATACGTGCAAAACTTGGGCACTGTGGTGGTAGTAAGTAATTCCATATTAGTTTGTTAGATATGTCACACAGTGAGTGAAACAGTATTAGTATTTACTGGATGATCAAGTTGTTTCGAACACAATTCATCATTATTGCTGTTCATAATCATATCAATTGTAATCATAGGACTTTGACACTTGAGTTTTATAGTTTTCTTTGTTTTCTCCTATTTGTTGTGGGGTTAGTAGAATTTTTTTAGACTTCCGATCATTCCATCCTATGTCAGTAAAAATAGGATTGGTGAAATGTTTAAATGACAACAGGGAACAAAAACTAAGTACTACCAAAGAAAATCTAAAACAGGAACTGATACACATAAAAGAAGCTTTGAAACTTAATAATTACCCGGATAAATTAGTAAGGAAATATAAAAATAAAATAAATAATGATAGTAGCGATAGTGATAATAACAATAATAATAATAGCGATGATAATAATAATATTAATGATGACACCAATAATAAGGAATCTAAATCATCAGTAGTAATTCCATACAAGGAA